CACAGCAGTCATAGGGCCCAGGATCTGCATGGAGAACGCATCTTCCTCTCCTCGTTTAGAAAGCATGGGAGGGAGCTCTCCCTTCCAGCTGGGTTTCTGCTTTCAGAGACCCCACTCCGCCTAGCTGTTTTCTGGCTCCGTCGGTCTGCTTTTTGTTTCTTGCAGTGGGCAGAGTCGGCCTGAGGGACTTTCTTCCCGTGCAGGTGTATCCAGTGCGCCCATGCGCATTAAAGCTGCTTCATTAGAAACGGGTCTTGGCGGTGCCTGGCCGCCTGCTTACTTGGCATTTTTTGAACCTCAACCGAGTAGTACTTGTTCTGTTTTTTGGGGGGGGTTTTTTGTGGGTTTGTTTTTTTTTTTGCTGAACTCTGGTGCTTGCTCCTGATTCTGTTCTGCATTTCAAATTGTTGCTTCTGACGTTTTCCTCTGGCACCAAGACCACCCCGGTCTTGTCTTTCTGTTTTAGCAGCTCTGGGCATGGTGCCTGTTTTGTGTCCTGGCACCACCGCTTGTGCTGTGACAGACTCCCTGATGATAGACTTGGACTTTTGAATGATTGATCTTGGAGTCTTAGCCTTTAAGAGTCTGCGGTTGAAATCTGTTCACTCGTCTGTATATTTAAAGCTCGCACACTTGCTCTCAATCAGTTTGGCTTCAGAACAATGACGCCTCTTCTGCTTTCTATATTTGACACTGTGTGTTCATTTGGAAAGCTGGAGGTGAGTAACCGTGCTTTTTATAGGCTGCCTATGACCACTGTAGGAGAGTGGACCTATTATGGGAACAGGGAAAGCATAAATGTGTTATAAATCCCAAATCCTGATTTCTAGTTCTTAGCTCCAAACTTAAACCAAATTGCCAGTGAAATTTTCAACACTGTATTGTTTTCATGTGATACAGTCTACTTTCTGTGCTGCAAGCTTTGAGAGCAGCGGTTATTTATTGGAAGGCTTTGTACCCCTATAGTTCATGTATACTTAAAATATAACTCATATGCCTTGATGTGCCGAGTAGTAGGTATCCTGATGGATGAATTTCAGATGAATGAATTTCCACCCTGAGCTCAGAACCACCTACAGGGAGACACATGCATAAGCATTAGCCTCTTCCCCTCTTCCTTCTCATTTATTGGGATCTCCTGGGCTTAAAAGGCCCACAAAGTACTTCCTTCCATAAATATAACCAACACACTACTGATACTGATAAACAATGTTTATAAAATGAGTACCAGCTAAATTATGAAATAAAATACCAACAGTGTTCTGCTAACAGTACTTCTGTCATCAAAGCTACAAAATGCATCTAGGGTCCTAAGGCCACACTTCGCAGAAAGTATCAGGGCCACCTCAGAGGCCCACCCCTGGCCCAGGGGCCTGCGCCTCCCAAAGATATGGGTCCACCATGATTGGTGCAGAAACGAGCATTATTCTTCTTGTAAAGTAAATGATTCATGTAACATGTGATTCTGCTTCTAAACCAGAAGCCGAGATTCCGCCTTTTCTCCCCCCTTCATAGCCATTCCCAACTTAATCCACACTATTTGAGATTCCATTGTCACCTCTTTACTGAAAACTTGTCCACAAGGTCACCAGTGGAGGCCTGCGTCCGAGACCTGTGCCTTCCCCTTTTTCTCTCATCCCACTATTTTTCCTCTCCTGACTGTTGTCACTCTTTGACACTCACCTCCCCCCGCCAAACTGCTGTGACACGGAGCCTTCTGGATCCTCACCTCCCTCCGTGATTGTGGGCCTCCTTTCGCCACTTGCTGTGCAGATGCTATGAGGTTCTGTCATTCCCTTGTCTCTAGATGTCTCCCCTAGAAAGCCCTGCCACCAGCTCTTCAGCTCTCAACTCTCTTTGGTGACCCTCATTATGAAGGAAGGGAGAGGGACGGAGTTTAGCCTGCATTTAGGGTACCTCATCTCTGGTCCTCTTCCCTGATCCCAGATGTCATCACTCAGCTCTGGGGCAAGTGAGACACCAATCACAAGCCTCTGCTTTCTTTCTCACGTCGCTTGTCACATACCTACCACTTCACTGGGGCTAGAGGCTGAATATGCCCCATCCTCCCATGTCCCACACTCACCCAGTGTGACTCCCCCGCATTTGTCACACCACCAAGTGGACATATCTAGTCCAGAGCCTGGTCTTGCTCCTCTTCCAGGATAGTCCCATTCTTAGTGGCCTCCCGGGAGGGTCAGACCACTCTCCCTCTGTCTACTGGAAGCAGATTCCTTACACATTCTAAGGCACAGCACAAGGTGATCATGGCTGCTATTTAGTATAATGACACGTGTCCCCTCTTGGCCAGGCATTGGGGGCATTTCATCACGTGGCCCCTTCCTATTGCCCCAGCTCCCCTAACACTGCCCAGAAAGACGGGCCCACTGACTTCTCTCTAAATGCTCCTTTGCACTCAGCTCCTCTAAGCTTCTGCTGATGCTTTTCCCACTGCCTGGGAGGCCCTCACTGCTCTTCTTTGTCAACATGTTATCTGTGCCTCGTTTCATTTTTTTTTTAACTATATTGGGGAACAGTGTGTTTTTTCCAGGACCCATCAACTCCAAAGTCAAGTCATTGTTTTCGATCTTAGTTGTAGAGGGTGCAGCTCACTTGCCCATGTGGGAATCAAACCGGCAACCTTGGTGTTATAAGCACTGCACTCTAACCACCTGAGCCAACCGCCCCCCCCCCCGTGCCTCCTTTCTGTTGGGAAGCATCTATAGAAATGACACCTCCACCCTCTGAAGTCCCAGCACTTGGCTCTCTGACTCAAGTGACACTTGCCTTTCCTTTTGTTATGGCTGCTTGAGCACATGCCCAAGGGGACAGGGACTGGTGCATTCCATTTCTTTTCATCTTCCTCTATGCCTAATGTACTCAATGCATTTGTATTGCATGTATGCATGTGTGCATGAATAAATGAAATGATTTCCGGGTCTTTAGTCAGCTCCAGCATGACCAAAGCTGAGCAAGTACAGAAAACTCTGTATGTGTGTGTGTGTGTGTGTGTGTGTGTGTGTGTGTGTGTGTTCCACTCTTGGATTCCAAATCTTTTAACAGGAAATTATTCCCATCAGATTTTATGAGGTATTTTATCCTGAAGGGAAAATGGGAGAAATATTCAAAATTATATTTCTTTTAAATAACGTGAGTAAATACATAAAACATTTTTGTTGGAGGAGGAAAAATCAAATAAAAACGAAAGCTCTAAGTCAGAGCTGTCCTAGAGAAGTTTCTACAATTTAAATGTTCTATATCTGCATGTCCAATATGGTGGCCATTATCCACGTGTGGCTGCTGAATACATAAAATGTGGCTAGTGTGCCCAGAGAACTGAATTTAACATTTTATTTAATTTAAATAACCAGAGGTGACTAGTGGCTACTATAGTGACTATTTATCCCCTCATCCTTAGGCCCGCAGCTCCAGTCCCCACACTGGCCTGACCACTGATAACCCTATATTGTGTGTCTATCTCTATGGCTCTTTCTTTGTGCATTTACAGCCTATTGTATACACACATTTACACACATGCCAAGTTTGTTTGGCCTGTGAGTGTTTCACGCAAATGGTATCATGCCACACGTGTTCTGCAGCTTCCTTTTTGATTGACAATCTGTTTAGAGAGCTCTCAGGGCAGTACTCATGGCTCTGCTTTATTTGCTTCAGCTCCTACGTTGTATCCATTGCATGGAGGGTCCCTGCTTTATTTAGCCAACCCCCCATTGATGGACATTTAGGTTGTTTCCAAACAAAGCCACCAGTCCATTCTTATGTGCTCCCCTGTGCAATGAGCAGCTACTGAGAACGGGATTTCTGAACCAGCGGGAGGAAAGGGGCCTGTATTCCACCTGTGGTTCTCCCCGCACTGGTTCTCCAGGACTGTGCATGGGGGTAGGGGATATTGGTCAGGGATGACGTGCTGCGTGAGCCCCTACGTCTGAGACGGTTCTGGGGAGCTGTTATTGTTATTTATTTTTGTCAGAAGCTGGCATCCATGTTCTACTCTTATCTTTGTTTTCACTCCCCATGCTGAGAGGCTGAAACCTAGATTTTATCACACAGGCTGTGATGAGCTCTGAAAATGCTGACACATTAGTAATAGTCTGAAGATGACAGACATAGACCACTTTCATCTGCAAGCTGAGTTTAACGCAGACTTGAAGGAACTCTGCAATGTTCTGTGCCTCATTAAGTTAGATTTCTCAAGCCATGTTCATTCTACTCCTCTTGGGGCGCAAATATAAGATAACTGCGTTTAAAGACCCATATATTTGCTAGCATTTGATTTTGGGTGTTGAGCAAGGAGTAAAAATAAAGATTTGTGGTATGATCTATACCAATTCACTTTTTAACCGAGNTTTCAAACACCACGTTCGGTCATGCTGCCTTAAAGATGCATTTTCAAATGTTAATAATTAATGGTAATGTTAATTTATCATAGTTTCACATAACATTCTGTAATGGAAATGGCCCCAGGAGAGAGGATGGTACAGAAAATTGAGGAGCAGAGAATAAAAGAAGTGGGGAGAAAATGAGAGGGCAGCATGGAAGAGCAACCCCTCCTCCATCCGTGTCCATCTCCCAGGACACTGGGGAAGATTCTTGGGCTGCAGGGGGCAGTTTTATAGTCATGTGTGCGCGTGCACACCAGTGGAATGTGTGGGGGCAGCAGCTGACCTGTGTGTGAGCCCCCACCCCAAAGCCTCACCCCTCAGAATGCTCCTCCGCGGTCTGGCACCATGAATAAGTGCTGGTCTGCTGGCATCACCCTCGCATATGCCACTGTGCCTGATCCCCAAGCCATAGGCACAAAGGAAGAAAGGCAAATGTTTTGGAAGGTGGAGAGGGAGTGGATGACACCCACCCCAAGGGAGGACGGGGCCCTGTGCTCCTTTGCTTCCACCCTGGGTTTGGTTCCTTACACACTGTCCTGACCTGGGTCTCCTCAGCCTAACTGGAAGCTCTCTCATGAGTTCTTCTCCTTGCCATTCCAGGTGTGTGTGGCTGCTGCGGTGCCCTGCGCCCCAGGTACAAAAGGCTGGTTGACAACATCTTCCCTGAGGATCCTGAGGTGGGTCACATCTCTGCTGGCATTGTGGTTCTTACTGTCCCCACTCTGAGGGCTGCCGCAAGGGGGACGCAGGCCTTTGAGGCCCCTTGCCCTGGGCCTACTCAGATGAATGGGCATGGTGGCCACAGCCCCAGTCGGTGTTGAGAGGCTGCCGGGGGCCTCATGGCTGAGGACATTTGGATCTCTCTGAAGTAAGGATCTGCAGAGGGCTCTGAGGTTTGTTTTGCCGTGCTTTTGGCTGTTGGCTGAATAACCAAGACATCTTTCTCACTTAATCTCTCTCTGGGTAATAGTTCCTTGAGCTGCTAACTCTCTTGATGGTACTATTTCCTGCTGTTTTGTGCAAGCACCTCGCTTCTTGGGGTTTGGCTCAGGTGCCCATGTCTTCTCCCGGGCTCCCTCTGGTATCCGCCAGGTGTCTGGATGTGTGCACGCAGGAGGCCTGGCTTCTTGGCTTCCAAACCACGACTCCACCATCAGGCTGCATTACAGGTTGGGTGGCTTCGGGAATGTCAGGAGCTGATGTACTTGACTTGCTCTCTGGGGATCGATGACCTCTTCTTGATGGGCAGTGGAGGGTCCCATTGCCAGCTCCCTGTGGAGTTCCTTGAGGGCTACAGAGCTGCCTCCTTCCTGCTCACATCTCGGGACTGGTTATCCAGCACCTGTCAATTCTGAGCCACTTTCAATGAAGCCTTGTCATTCATTCTTACACACACACACATATTTACATCGCTTGCTATTTTGATTTATAGCTATCACACTTTGGGCTAAGTTGTGAGTTCCTGGAGGACAAGACATATATATATATATATATATATATATATATATATATATATATATATATATATATATATNAAAGGCTGACATGTAATGTAGTGGTGAGCCACACTAACTGCTTGACTGTAAAGCAAACTGAATCAAGCAAAGATTGGTCTTAAAACTACATATAGAATGAATTGAAGCAAGGAGACTGGCCAAGTGGCATTTACAAGGACTGGATCTCAAGTGTCAAGAAAATGTCCTAGTGACAGTGGCTATGGCAACAGAGAGCACAGGATGACCCTGAGAAATTGTTGAGGATATATTTTTGGGAAAGTGATGGGAGAATTAGGGGAGCTTGATGACAGAGAGTTGCATGCTGTGTGGCCTGGGGCAGAGCACGTAACCTCTCTGATCCTGCTTCTTTACCTGTAAAACGAAAACATTAGTACATGCCTTAGTGGTTGTTATGAGTATCATATGAAATAGTTGTAAAGTGCTTGACCTAGTGCTTAGCACACACAGATCAGTCGAGGAAACAGGAGCAGGCAAGCAGAGCAAAAGAGAAACAGGGCTGCAATGAGTAAGAGTTGTGGGGACACAGGTGCTGCTGGCCGACCAGGTGAGAGCTCCAGTGTCCGTAGAGGCTGCCAGCAGCTGTGAGATCTGCCGTCACACGCTGGGCGGGTAAAGAGCTGGGCCAGGACTTCTCACTGTGGCCACGAACCAGAATCACAGCGGAACACCTCTGACCCCTCCTCAGAGACGCAAGGGTGACTCTGAGCAGTCAGGGGTGGCTGCAGCCCCAGGGTAAACCAGGAGCCAGCAAGCAGGGCTTGGTAGAATTGGGGCACAGTGGGCAGGAGGCCAGTGTATGGCAGAGGCAGGACAGACGGAACCCTGACCCCGGGCTACCTGCTGCCCAACCCCTGTCCCCCTTGTCTTGGATAGAGACTGGCCCTGTGAGCCCAGCCTTGAGAGCCCTAGATGATGGATGCCCCAGGAGGCAGGCTGGGCAGGACTCAGGAACTAGTGTCAATGTTTCTCCAACAGGAACATTCCTCTGAGGTCCTCCTGGGAGAACTGACTTGCGAGCACCTGCAGGTCTAAAGGAACTTACCCTTCTAGCAGAGGAGACAGAATGTAGACACACCTGAAGTGTGTCAGTTGGTAAAATGTTGTTGAAAAGGAATAGACTAGGGATAGAAAATTAAAGGAGAATAATGATCAGGGAAGTTCTCCACAGTGAAGTGGCATTTAGGCAGACACAGGAGGGTAATGAGTGTGGGAGCCAGGAGGCTGCAGGGAAGAACATTCCAGATGGGGAATATTAAGTGCAAGGGCCAAGGCAGGACCGTACAAGGAGGTCTCTGCGGCTGGGGCAGGGCCTCTGGTGAGCTCTAATCGTCCTTAGAGCTTTAAAGCTGGAGGAAGCCACCGCAATCTTGTCATTGGACACTCTGTCAATCCCCACTGATGTGATTTTGCAGTAACCGGAGCAGCTACATACTAGTCAAGTTGGCCTTATCACGTTACTTCTCTAACTTAAAATAACTATAAAAATACTAGTGACAGAAGAGCATGCTTCATAAATTTACTTTCAGTGTCCCTCCCATACTTAAAATAACTATAAAAATACTAGTGACAGAAGAGCATGCTTCATAAATTTACTTTCAGTGTCCCTCCCGTGTTTGGATCAGCCAGACGTGATCCCCAGAGAGAAAGAGACGGTTGAAAGCGCTCTCTCTTAGAAATAAAAGGACTCAGGATTGAAAAGGTTCTTTTATAGGCACATGGCTGTGAGTTAAAGCTGCACATTTGTATGTACCAACAATAAGAATAAATACCATTAGACACCAGATTAAAGAAATATATAAAAAGTCTCACTTAATCTTTGGTAACAATGAATTGTTTTCAATTTCTTTTCAGTATCTTCTATTCTTTGTTTTTTACCCCCTGGCCTAGTTACTTTGAATTCACCTTCTGGTTGGAAGCTTTCTAGGGGTGCCTGTGGGTTCTGTCACCTCCTGAGCTACTGTGGCACCCAGAGACCAGGGGCCCCTGACCAAGCCCTCCTGGCTCTTGGCCTAATCAGAGAGGAGGCCTTCTTTTATCTCCTGTTGAGGCTCTGATCACCTACCCAGGAAGTGNCTGATAATCAGGCTTCCAGACAAGCATAATTAGGGGGGAAATTGCAACTATCCATGCAGCATCCGAGGAAATGAAAACAAAAGAGAAAACCCACTGTTGTTTGGTGCTCAAATGGGTCAAGCTGTTTTCTCATCTCCATATCCCTGTCCTAGTAATGATTTTCATAGTTTGGGTCATACTGCAGATAGAATTTTGTATATAGACCTTTCTCATTAAACACTCCACCCTACGAAATTTTCCATGATGTCACCATCTTTGAAATTATGCCAGTGAGGTTTGCACTTAAATTATTTATTTAAATACATTTCAGCCAGTTGGCTAAGTTTCCCTTAGGGTTCCTTTGTTTACAAACATCATGGTGAGCGTGTATCCTGGGCCTATGATGAGTGGACCCCTGGAAAATGGAGTGCTCGTGTTGGAAGCTCCGTTGTCTTCCCTCCAGATTTTCAATCAGCTTTTCAGTGCATCGATTTTACTGGGCAGTTTGCAGACTCCGGCTCCAGTTCACCTTCTTTTTCATGGCTGATCTCAAACCTCGCACATCACTCTGGTGACGTGATGTTATTGATGCTGTCATCCCACAGTGGTGGGGCGAGTTTCTAACCCAGTTTTCAGGAACAGTGTGGCTAGTGAAGTGCCATTGAGGGGGGGCGGGGTGGGGGGGGCATTTTTATTATCAGTTCCAAGCTTGGGACTTCCCCCTTCCTCTATGTGCTGTCATTCACAACTGTGGGTTGTCCTTACTCACGTGTGGCTCTTCTGACCCTTTTCTCTTTTGCCACTGCGCTGGCTGTCGCCCTCATTTTCCTATGCTTTGTGGTTCCTGCTCCTTTTCTTGCTGGCCTTTCTTTTCCTGTTCTCTCTAAACTCAAATTCAACTGGCCAGCTTGCTCTTAGATGGTCTTCCTAATACACTCTTTTTATCCTCTCACACCTCTGTTTCAACAAACCCTCAAATAACCCCGCCTCACCTGTGAGATAGAGACTGAGCCCTTTCCTGGGTAGTCAGAGCTAAGACTGTGCCCTTAGCGCTCACGACTGCTGCCTGGATCACCTCTCCATCTACCCTCCGCCATGTCGTGTCCCTGAAGAGGCAGTTCAGACTCTTGTGTCTTAAAAATATTCATACCTTTTGATTCAGTTTCCGGAAATCTATCCTGAGAAA